ATAATTGTATATTATAATAAACAATTTTAGATCGCCATTTTGATTAATATTGATCTATTCGGTATGACTTACGTGTATTGTTTCGTTGTTTTGTGGTTACCCCAAATCCTAAGGATACTCGAATCATTTTTCGCCTTTAGCTGGAAGGCTTGAATCACTTACGTTTGTGACGCATCGCTTCACGAGGCACACATTTTTATTTTCTATTTCATTAACTTTTGTACCTTATTGTTTAAGTTTATCTATAAGACGCCATGAAGTATCTTGTTATTAGGTTTAAGAGAAATCCCTGAAGTATTATCGGTTAACAAAATTAAATTTAAACCAAAACGCGCCCTAAACAACGTTGCCAGATCGCAAGACTTTGCCAGATCGCTACGCGATCAAACCACCAGGTGGCCAGATTGACTATCGATGGTCAGCTCCGCTCGATATTTCGGCGAGTGGCAACGAAACCATGAGTAGATGACCGACATTGCTCGATATTTCGACGGGTGGCAACCCAAACCGAGTTGATGTTCAGGATCAATCGAAATGATTCGCTCTCTTGGTTCCGGACCGCTGAAGGAAGCAGACGTGTGCTCCACAACTGGGTAAAATAACTTGTGAATCAACGCGTGTGACTTATATCCTAAGAACTCGGTGCAGCAGCAGGGAAATAAGACAGGATAAGGAAATAAAGTGAAACTTCTGAATTATAACCCACCTGCGTATATTCGGTAACAAAGTAGTTCTTTGAAAAGTAACCCTAATCCTTCCTGAACCCGTAGTTAGTGATACTTCAGGCGTGGCTACGGTAATACCTGGTACTCCCAGAGAACGCCGGATCCTTGCCAGATATAGGCGTCTCATAATCAGGAGTCGCACAAGTACGCGGGAGCACCACGCGTGTTTTCCCCTTCCCCCTTCTCCTCTGATTAGCCACGCAAATAGAGGTGGAGAAACATCGATGTTTTTCGATGTTACATCGATGTTTGCCTTTTAAAACATCGAAAACATCGATGTTTCTCCACCTCTACACGCAAAGCCAGCGCATTTTCTGCGTCGCGGTCCCAGCAATCGCGACTTACCCGATCCAAGAACCCTCGCCTACGATTTCCTTTTTAAAGCAAGTCTCCTATAGATTACAAATTTCTTGTAAGGATCTCTGGCACGACTGAGACTCACCCCGGCCAGAGAACTTCGTTACACGTTAGGAACTGATTATTGGATCACCCCCTTGAGATGTTGAATAGAGAATATATCAAATAACGATCCAATTGCAACCCACGCAGAGCAGCGGTCAAAAAGATATCGGTTATATAAAAAAACGTTTTCTTTTTATTTTTCTTGTTTTTGTTGTTTTCTTTATGTATATGTAAATACCAAGGACAATATCATTTGTTTTTCACTTTGTTGTTTGCAATAATATAATTAATAATATAATATTAAATCAGCGCTTTTTGTGTTCATTTTCATTTCAATTTATGTATACCATTATCTTTTGCTATGCTAATGCCTTAGATTTGTTTGTATTAATTTTGATAAATACAATTATTTTATTAATGTTTCAATAAATTTTTGAATTCTTTTTTAAATGTTTAACTTTATATTTGTTCATTTATAATTGTTCTTTACAATATACACAACTGAAATACTTTTATTGAAATTGTTTATCTTTAAACACTAAGCACTAGTTTAGCTCGATCTTTTGCGTTTATGCCTGGTGTTATCTTTCCTAATTGTCATTTTGAATGGGGTCGGAGATTTAAATAAAATAGAAGTACGGGGTTTTCCAGGGGATTTTGTCTCGCAAGCAAAGCAAATTGGCTCTAAAAAGCAATGGAACGAATAACTAGGCATTTAGAACTTGTACACTATATATAAATATATTGTTTTGGGCATGTTTGTTTGGTTTTGTGGTTCAGTGGTTTTTACGGTGCTTCGTTCTGTGTCCTTTTCATTAGCTTTCTCGATATAAGTATATGTATGTATGATAAAAAATATAAAAGTGAGCATTGAATGATATATAACCATTTCTTGTTATGTACTAGGTGGCACAGTTTGTTTTTGTTGTAGTTGGTTGTTGGTTGTTTTTGTGGTCTGGTCTGAATGCATTAAGGGGTTTTGGGGGATTGATATATATTTGTTGGGCCTTTAAGGAGGATTAACTCATAAGCGAGACCTGGAAATCATAAGAGTTATTTTGTTAACCGGTAATATACACAATCATACACTTTATATGTGATATATCGATATATCTACAAGTTGGATTATCTCTGGTTAAAAGTCTAGCTCAATCTTAATCGTACAACAAGTTTGCTTCGGCTGAGGCTTTGCTATTCGGTAATTTAGCTATCCATATTAACTATAACTAACTGCTATTGCTATTTACGATACGATATTTACGTGGTACATGGTTGTGGATCTATATGGTATGGTACATATACGGTTCTATATGGTATTTATAAGCTTTCATTTCTTTCCCGTGTGATGCGGTCTTTGTTTTTGTTTCTGTTTCTGTTTTTGTTTGTTTTGGTTGAATGAGTTTAAATGCCGTTTACCCTTTCATTAGCATAGCATATAGATAGCCTTGTTGCTGTTTGTAATCATATGTAGTTATATATAGTTCTATACATATTAATTCACATAAATGGTTTCTTCTTCCGAGTGTGTTTGCATGTGGGGTATTGAAGTTGAAATTGAAATGGTTTCTTCATTTTGCTTAAAATTGCTTCTCATTGTCGTTTACAATTTAGATATAGTTTAGCATACGTTTTAAATACGGTATATGTTTATATGTTGTTTGTATGCATGTATACATTATATTAAATAGATATTTATCTGGTAGTTCTCAAAGTTTAAGTTAAGCCTTCTCATCAAAATGTATCGCAATATACAAAGGCGTAAGTGCGTCCACAAGGCAATCCCCTTGATACTTTTCGTCACGCATGAACGTTGCAAAATGATTTTATAGTTTTTATAAATTTTTGAAAATTTAACTTGAGTTTTACTTGTAAGATTTTTGTTTCATTCTTTTTGTGGTAAATTCACTAACAATAAGTAACAGCATAAGCTTCTTTGCTTGAATTTGGTTTTTAATTTTTACTTTTAGCTAAAAAATGTACATAACTGATACTCAGTAAAGCGTTTAATTACATAATAGTCAACAAAAATACAAGTACAATACCTCATATAACGATTCAATTTCAATTTTAATAATTTTGTATATTTACTTTCCACACAGACACATACATAAAGAGAGTTAATAAGAGAGAGTTAAGCAGAGAAATAGTTTTGGTTTTGAAGATTCGAGATGATAAAAACAAGCCCGGCATGGGAACCATGCCCTATGCATATCATTAGACACAAAGTTAACTTTTTTGGGACTCAGGGTGAACAAATTGCTCTTGTGACATGCAAAAGTTTCATATTATTCCAAACACTATCACACACAACAAACGAAATCAACAGACTTGCCGAAACGATTGACTGAACGATTGACTGAGTGAATGAGTGACAGATATAGGTAGATCGTATAATCGAAAGTGAAAGATAGAGAGCGAAAAATACGTTGGTTTTGTTTTTGTTTTTGATCTATAAAAAGGAATTCGTCTTTTGCTAATATTTTATACAATACGTACGAAGTTATAGTTAGCACTATCTGTTGTTCATCGTGCCCGTTTAAAGTTGTTATATAATTTTTTACTTGCTCGTGATCGCGCCCTGTCGGCTCGGCTCTTCCTGCTTCAACATCGTTTAACTTTTACTTAATGCCAATCAACCTCAAATTTTAAGCGTTAATTTCTTCTTGTTTCTACAGCGTTAATGTTATACTTGCATTTTTAGTGGCAGAGCAGACATAGATGTCTTTCTGCCCTAGCAGTTTCATAATTCGTTTACCATTTTGCAGGGTTGGAGTTGGTTGGGGATCGATTTGGGGTGCGAGGGATTTTTCTTAGTTAGTTTGGTGAGGAGAATACAATTTTGCAGCGGATTTTCCTGGTGTCGGCTTTTGCTCTTTAAAACATTTAACAAACATTCAAAAATTGTGCAGTGTGCAGTTTAAGTTGTACTAATAACAGGGATATGCCTTGCGGTGTTGTCAGATTGATCAAGGAACTTGATGGTCCACAAAACGTGGTCAATAAATAATCTCTAAACTGAACAAAAGAGAAGTTCTGTCGATGCCAAAATGCGGAAATATTGATTAACCTTACAACACTGCGGGTATATAATTTGATATTTTGGTTTAAATTTAGAATTGATGCGCTTTTTGGGCTAATTATTTCTGAGTGGGTGTTGGTGTAATTGTGTTATCGTGTGTGTTTGTGGCTTCCTTTTTAAATATATAATTATAGCTTTTTACATGTTTGTGTGTTTACTTTTAAGATTATTTTTTAATTTTTACAAATTATCTTTTTGCTTAGGTGGGCTTCATTTTTGTTTGTTGTTGGTTTTTTGTTTTTCTTCAATTAGCTGCTGTAAATACAATCAATTTGGCAATATGCATGCGTGTGTGTGTTTGCCGTGCATATGTGTATTTGTGTGTGTTAGTGTGTGTTTGAATCTAACAAAAGCGACAATTCGTTACTAGTTTTCTGGTTACTCTTATATTTTACAGTGTCTGTGCCTTTATTCCTTTTCGTATTTCTTCTCTGCAACGTCTTCTTCTTGCTTACTGTTTAAGGGATTTTTAGATATTTTACTTGTTCATTTTAAACATTTTAAGCTCTTGATTTTCTTAATGTATGCCTTATTGGGTTTTGGTTGCTTTTCCTTGGGGGCTTTTGTGGGTTTATCATCAAATAACATTGCTCTTACAGTAATCTCGTGAACCTAAACTTGTCTTGTCACTAGTTTAAACAAGTAATGACTAACGGTCTAAGCTAAGTGGCTCGCTTGATAATCAATAGTAATAATAATCATACAATAATATGTTTTAGAGTTTACACAGATTTACACATTTCGACTAGCGCGTGGTTCGATAGAGGGTTCTAGAATACCTAAGGTCTGGATAGGTCTTGTCATTGGTTATTTTAGTTGAGGATCGGAGTGGTTCTTGGTTCTAATATTAAAAGAGATTTTCCAGGGGGAGACATAGAACGGAAAGCCAAGTGAGAGTGAGATGCCCTTGCTTTTTATGTTAATACTTTTATTTTTTTTTTTAACCTCGGCAGTGTTAAAATTTTACTTTTGATATTTCGGGAAGTGTTTAACGTATTAAACGAAAAGACGAAACTTAAAGTAGGATTTCTTACAAACAGGTCTCTTGGACTCACTTTTCTTTAACCTTTTTTTGTTGCTAAGGGCATCTCGTCAGCTACAACAAATAAACACACTTCTATGGGCCTAGTTAAGCGGGATATGGCGGCTCATAAAATTCAGTTTCAATGGGATTTAGCCGGGAAATTTTGGGGCAATTTTGTATTTATTTTCTGACAAGCGCGTTGTGTTAAGTGTAGAAAGAGGCGTGCATGAGAGGGCGGGGGTCTTTTTTGTTTTAACAAAGGTAGCACAATTAAACTGTTTACTGATTGAATTGCTGTTGCAGTTTTGAAAGAATGTTTCCAAAAAATTGTGGCTCCAATTGCTAGAATTGCATTTTTGACTCTTGTTTCTCGGTTTCTCCTTACTGGTAAACGGAATTATTATGAGATTTGTAGCTGTTGCTGCTGCTGTAGCGTTGGTGTTGCTGCTGTGATCCAGATGAGTGATGATGACGGTGGTGATGGTGTTGCTCGTGATGCTCACGATGGTGATGGTGTTGGTGTTGTTCGTGGTGGTGTTCGTGTTCGTGTTGGTACTCCCGCTCGCGTTGTTCGCGTTGCTCACGCAAATGTTGCTGCCGTTCGCGTTGGTGTTGCTGCTGCTCGCGATGCTCCCGTTGTTCGCGTTGCTCGCGTTGCAGTTGCTGCTGGCGGGTGGGCGTTTGCTGCTGGTGTTCGCGTGTGGGCGTGGCATGTGCCTGATGTTGCTCCCGTGTGGGAGTTGCCTCCCGCGAAGCTTTCGTTGGTGTGTTGGTGTTTCCCGGTTGTAGTTTGCTAGCAGCTGTTGCTGCTCCCGTTGGTGTTGCTTGTGTGTTGCTGTTGTTTGTGTTGGGCGTTTTGGTGTTTTGATGTTGCTGTTGCTGCTGCGGCTGCTGTTGCTGTTGCTGCGACTGCTGCTGGTGAGGATGTGTATGCGGATGCGAATGCGAATGTGGATGAGGTTGATGATTGCTGAGCGCCGCACCGCTACCGTAATGCGCATTGATGTTGATGTGCATCTCGTGTGGCAGTGGCGGCGGATTCTTGGCTTTCGTTAGCGGTATTGGTGTTGGCATTGGTTTTGGCGTCTCCGTTAAATCGATGCCCCATTCGTAGAGGAACTCGAGTTTTTGTCGTTCCAATGGGTCACTGGCCGGCAGGGCAAGCAAATGTTAGGCTTCTAAAAATATCAGCGCCGTCGGCTTCGGTTCCAAATTTGATTTTTTTGCTTCGACAACTAAGAAGGTTATTTCAGCCTTTTCACGATTAGCAAAGCATTCGGCTATAAGTCGAGCAACCTCCTGCAAAAGCAATTAAATATTTAGCCAGTATGTTAAAAATATTCTTTAAACGACATTCCAGATTCTCTCTGAAATCTTTTAATCCAGATCAATTTATTGTTACCTGATGATGTAGACCTTCCACTTTGGTTCCATCTACCTCCAGTATGAGTTGCCCGACTTCTAGGCCGCCCGCTTCAAATGCTGCACCATTTTCCTGTTGCAAGTTCAGTTTGAGCATAAAGTAGTCTAAATGATCGTTTAAGTACTCACATGGATATTGATTATCCTAGGGAGCGGGTGTTTTGTATTAGCACCACCTTCGATAGCAATACCTAAAATTGGTTTGGTTTTCTTAACTGTAATGTGTAAGTTGCCTCTATGATCAGGTACGACGTTTGGATTGTGTTCATGTGTTTGTTCAGTCGTTGAACCACCATTCTGCTCCGCTGACAGACGCTGCATGGACTGAAAAACAAGCAAATGGAGTTGATGAAATGACAATTAAATAGGGTTACTACTTCAGGTATTAAACCCAGTTCGATGGGTACTTTTTTGCTATTCATTAGCCTAAGATTAGCTTATAGTTCAAATTGTGTTTGGGTTGGATCAAAGATAACTTGGTTCAAGCTGGTAGAGTAGATTTTGTGATTTGGTTAAGGCAAGCAATTTAACATTTGGTTGATTCAAGGACTTTAATAAATATTGTTTTGGGTTGTTGTACTTATTTACGTGTGGTTCAAACAATAGGAAACGGTTCAAGCTATGGAAAGGTAGGCCAATTCAAATTTACAAATATTGCTAGTTTAAAATATTCAATGGCTTAGTTGCTGTTTATTTTAGAGTTAGGTAAAAAGAGAGATAGAGAAAGTAGAAACTTTTGTGTGATTTGTTTGGAATGAATCATGAAATGTTCTGGGGTGACCGAATTGTATAGAATTTAGTAGAAAAACCGACGAAAGTCTTATGATTAAATATTAACTCTGATAATTTCGAGCCAAAACTCATTTTTGTTTCTCATACGTTTTTTGTTATATTAAAGTTGTTGTTGGCATTCAAGTGCTGTTGTATTCAGTTATTTTTTGTAGATATCTGTTATTTTAGTGTGGTTGCACTAGTTTGGAGTAGCACTCACCTGATGCCTTCGTACACCTTTATCGCCCAGCAATGTGCCGCCTTCTTCCTTCATATCGAAACTTCTTGAGAGTTTTGTGGCCAACTCCTATTCATTTAATTTTTGTTTCGGTTTTCAGATTTGGCCACATTGTATTTTGGCAATGAATTGGTTTGTTTTTGGGTTTTGCATAGTGAGCAAACATTTGATTGATTTTTGGTCGTACAATAAGTTGAATGTAAAATGAAAATAGTAGAGATATTTGCATAAGAAATCGTTGTAGTTGCTTGTAGTAGAGATAAAAAACGTTGTTGATTTCTTGGTAGACTGTATTGGTTGCGTGTGAAATATGGTTAGAATATATATAAAGTTCTTGATTGTAGCCGCTTTAGAGAGTGTTTGCTTTTTTTGTATTCTCGCTCACTTTCAAACATACAGATAGAAATTTAATTGAATAAAGTATGACAGTTGACTATACGGTGAGTTAAATTGAGTGGTGGGGTTGTTTTGGGTCGGCGGATGGGTGGTTCTTGTGGGGCAGCATGTGCCAAAGCGTGCTTTGGAGAGAGATAAAGAGATAGAGAGAGGGAGACAGTCTGAGATTCTGGATATCGATTGGCATTCGAAGTGAACTGAGCTGATTTGCTTTGAATTGCAGAGTTCTGATTTTTCCTTTGCATTCGATTTTTGGTTACCTTTCACCATATTGGATTAGTCGTTGATGTAAGCTTTGATTGCTTGATTGGCTTGGCAGTGGTTTTCAGTTTGTCACTGGAGAGTGCAGCTTATCTTATTTGTTGTATTTTATTGTACAATCGGAAAAGGAAGGCAAAAAGTTGCATGAATATGAATACTTAATATATTTTAGGTTTACTGTAGTGCCTAGCCCCTTGTATGGATACTTTGAATAATAGCAGAGTTCTATTTAGCTCAGTATTTTTAGAAATATATCCAAAAATGTAACATTCTATTTTTGTCTTTTAATAAGAATGATGAATAAAGTAAAGTAATATATTTTTTTAATAATCCCAAAATAAACAATTTGAAGTTAGGAATCTGCCATACAAAGAGCTATAGCAAGGGTAGACTTCCCTATAATTTTTTTTTGAGCCGAAATAACCTTATTTTAACATTTTTGTATATCGTAACACTGAATGGAATGAATACTTTTTAACCACTGTTGTTTTTTCAGGGGCCATCGGCTTCCCACCTATTTTGTATTTTGGACTAAGCTGAGTTCAAGAGTGCATTTTATGAATATGCGGGTGCTGTGTGCGTATCTGTGGATTTTGTCTGTGTTTGGCTGGGTTGTGTGTCTTTTAGTTTGAGTTTGTGCAATTTAAGGCTTTGCAACTATACAATAATTATACAATCTATTTATAAAAGCTAATGGCAATATTTGGCAACTAAGACACTTAGAGTTTGGTAACTAGACTAGGTCGGACTAGGTAGGACCGAATGTAGCGCTAACTAAAACTTCAAAACTTCAACTTACGAGTACTTTACAGGACTAAGAGCTGCTAACTACAACTAGGATTGGGGTGCGTGTGTGGATGTCAATTAGTGTCGTTGTGTGGGAGAGCAGCAGCTAAATTAAGGCCAACATAAATCGGGATTTACACTAATTACAGGGCAAATGAAAAGAAATGGTAAGACACTACAAATCGATGTGTGAGAGGTGAATCGGTGAGTTATGGCTGGCGGTGAACCAAGACCAATTTATTCGATGCTGATACGGATATTGATATTTGCGTGTGTTTAGAAATCGGGGTGACTCATGCGTAAATGTGCAAATGTATTTTTCAAGCTTTTCTTTTTTGTTGGTTTTCTTTTTTATATTTCACTTTGGTTCGTTTTTTGTCTTAAAGGCTTGACCTTTCGCTTTTAAATGCATTGTTGGCTTTTAGTCTTGTGTCTTGTTTAGCTTTTGTTTTAAAATACTTACATTGACAATTACTTTACAAAGAGACTAAGGAAATCTATATGAAACGTTTTCGAGTGCGCCACGAAAAATAAAAGAACGAAACACAATGGAAATAATGTTGTTTAACTTGTGGGGCAAGCAAAATTTGATTTGGAATGAGAGCACAAAGAAACTAAAACACAGTTCCTACGAATACAACACAAAATGCTGGAAATGCAACCGAATTTCAGAAAACAACCTTTTAAATTTTGTATTTTAATGGCAATGGCACTTGCAGTGGCTTTCGTTGCAATGCACATTCAAATTCAAAACGGTTAAGTTAGTTAAGTTAGTTAGTTAATAGAGAGAGACAGAGTTACAGAGAGATAGAGAGAGATAGAGAGCGAGTGAGAGAGTGATAGCAACAATACTAAGTAGTTCAGGCTAAATTGAATGCAACGAGATGCAAATTGAACGGTCTGTTCCAAAAGAAAAACAAAATGCAGACTGGTGAAAACATTTCGCAGACAAAAATTATTCCACTCAACTTGCGAACACAATTTCTATTTTGTGGTTGCTGGTGTCGTATTATTATTAGGTTTGTTTGTTTTCGTTTTAACGTTTAACGAAAAATACATTGGCACTTACTAGAGGTCGTCCCCAATACCATGATTTGACACGTTGTGTTAAACCACCCAAATGTGAACGCAGTCCATCTAAGTAGCCGCCCTGAAATGCACACAAATGAACAAACAAGAACAATTTTGGGGAGTACGGGACAAGAGGTCTCGGAAATCGAAATCCAAACTCAAAAGCGATCTGGAGTCTATGGATCTGATGGAACAACAAAAGTGGTGGGGTGAGGGTGCCGGGTGAAATGAGAGACTCGAGTGGAAATCAAGGGGGAAATCAGTGTGCTGGGTTTAAAGAGAGAAAGTAATAGAATAGGAGGATTCTGTGGGGGTTTCTTGGTAGGGTTCCTAGGTTATATGTATTTAACTAGTCGAGCTACTTGTAAGTATGTTACTGGTTATATAGTTGAACTGGATACTTGTTGAAGATTACGGGAGGTTACTGGTTACTTATATTTGTCGTAACCATAACTACTTAGATGAACTATTGGAAAATGAATACCTAACTATAGAACTAATGTCTTAACCATAATATGGGGTTCTTAAGGTGTCTAAATCAAGTTTTCTCTACAATCGCTACAGCAGTTATAGGTCGAATTACATTTACTTTTTAAGTTTCTAGTTAACTAGTTTAAAAACAGCTGGATTTTTTTCTTTTATATAAATAAATATAATTTAATTACTAAAGAATTGTTTAGAGGCTATTTGCAACAAATGTTGCTGAGCATCATCATCATCAACAAAGTCGAGTAAACTTTAATAGCACTGCATACTTTTAGGCTGAACAATAAAATCTGGTCACTCTAAAATTTAAATTTAAGTTTGAAAATGAGAAAGAAGAAAATGGTGAGATTAAGTATCTCCAGAAGACAAATTTCCTGTGCTCACAATTTAATAATCTCGGATTTAAGCTACACCCGCTACAACGCCTTTATTTGCTAATTAGCTTTGATTATGTCAAAACTTTGTGAGGTAATCCTCTCGAAAGCTCCGTTGCATGGGCATGTAATACGCCCACGTTCACGTCCCCACCTCTTGCATTTGGAAAATTATGCACACGAATCACCAGCGGCGAAATTAGTTAGAGAAATGGTTTAAAACAGAGTGGCGAGCTAAATATTTACAAGAGTTTCGGTTTTTGTGGCTCTTTCTTTGGTTACGATTGCTTCCTTATTGGTTTTTCCTTTGTTAAGTATGTACGTATATATTTATTGGAGTTTACATGTATATATGTGTTAGTGTGTGTGTTGGCATTTGGTTGTGTGTGAGTGTGTCGAAAAGATAGTTTCGAAAAGTGCTTAAAGTGTAACAAACGGCGAATGCAGCGAACATCGAGCTTACCTGTTCCTGTTTCCAATTAATGCGATTCCCATCCATTGCGCATACGCAGCGTGAAACGGTAGCGAAAAAAAGATGGAAAACCGAAAAAGAAAAATTAATTATCACCGCTTAGTTGCTAATGAGCATCATCTCTTTTCAATGCCAAATGCAAACGCATTTCTGGCCGTCAACTACCGAGTCTCTGAGTCTGTTGGCAGAAATAACAAATTTTCCGTTTACGTCATGTTCAGGCAAAACAAAGCAAAACCCAAGTGGTAAACAGAAACAGAAAAAAACGGGGGGCCGAGGAAACCGAAAACGCCACACAGCTGCAGTCGATGTCAGCTGCAGTATCCCACAGATACATTTTATTTATTTGTCACTCCAGTTTGACCATTGCGTAAATCGCACTCTTGCACTCCATATCACACTTACAACATAAATCTTGCAGATATAATTGCAGTATAATTTTTAGTCATAAATATTGACAATCTTTGTTTATCAAATCGCCTGCCATTGTTTCTGTCGTCGCTGTGGGTAATTTTTTACATTACTAGGCCATAAAAAGTAACTGGGAAAACGTTCAGTGGCAAAACGTCAAAGAAAGCAAAACTCAACGCAACAACGAAAACCCCTAGATGAAAAATATGTTTATGCCAAGCCAACTCTAAAATGCTCTAGCAAAGTTAAATTATTGAATTTCCTAGAATATCGGATGTTTTTCATTTGTGAAATAACATAGAAAATAACATAGAAAATATATAAGAAATGCAAGTTGAAATGATCGAAATTTTCAATTTTAAAAGTAGGACATGGCCAATTTTCTCTCTGTTTCAATTATATGAAAATAATGAACATTTCACAGATTTCTGATTTGGCTGTCATAAATCTTAATGTTAATTTAATTATAGATCTAGACTTTGGGTCTTAATTACTTATCTTATTATTTATTTATAAAGTTAGACTTAACTGAAAGTAATTTTTTCTGGAGAGATAAAGTTTTCATTCTTGATAATATCCTTCCCAACAGACTAGGGTTGATTGATCGATTGACTTGCGATATTTCAGTTTCGGAAGTTCAACTCCAATACTATTTATATAAATTTTACAAGGCCTTTTAAAATTTTTGGTCAAACCCTTTACCATCTGCCCACGACCCTGGCCAAAAAAGAGTAGCTCTGCTGCTGCGGCTGGCTGGGCATCGTCAACTTGGTTGGCTTTTGGCAGCGGCAGCAGCAACACCAACAGCAACAGCAGCAACATGAGCAACTACAACCGGGCAGCAGCAACTGCGGATTCAGCCGCAGCTCTACCTTCAGAAAAGTCTGCAGTTTCAGTCGCGCGTCGCCGCTTCGAGCGTGAGGTTGAAATCCCAGTCATCAGAGGTCCGAATACCCGTTTACAACGATTTGTGCGGCCAACGAGCATCAGCTAAAAGTGCGTATTACGAGGCTTAAATTGAACGAGAAACAAGTTGCCTGTGGAGTTGACAAATCTCGCGTTTCGTTACATTTCGCGCTCTGTTTGCCGCCGAATTATTGCATAAATAATAAAGCGAGCAGAAGTTTTGCCTGGCTCTTCTTTGGTTATATCATCGCAATCCGTTTTTGGGGCCTTTTTGGGGGCAGACAAGACGGTTTTACTGCTTTGTATTTTGCATTCAATTATCTGCTATTTCTCACCTTTTTTGGCTGAGCTAATTTCCTTTGTTTTTCCATTTTTTGTTACCTTTTTTAATTGCCAGAATGAAGCTAAGTCGCAGTCAGGCAGTGGTTTTGGCTGATTTGTTGCCTCTCTGTCTTTTCTGCAATTAAGTTGCTGACGGAAATGAGGGGATTCTAGGCGGCAAGACTGCGAAATAGTTGCTAAACATTTCGACCCAGAAAAAAACCATCGGCTGTCAGCTGTAGGGAAAGCCGAAAAGGTTTGGAAGAAATGCGCATAAAACACAGAAAGAACGAAATGCTTTTAATGGCTTTTTGGACAGCCTTTCAGAGTGTCTCTGGGCCTCAGGGCACTGACAACTGACTAAAGTAATTGCCATTGGAAAAGGCATAAATAAGAATACCCCTTTCCGGAGGAGAAACTTAATGGAGATTGCTCCAATAAAACGTTGTTCCGCATATTCACGAAAACACCGCTCTTTATGCATTCATCAAAATTGGTTTGAGTTAAAGTTAACCAATCAATTTCAGGCAACTCTGACCCACTTCTCATCACCGACCGCCGATCTACAAAATCAGAGCCAGAGATTTGATAAATTATTCTTAGACATTCGGTCAGCTGTCAGTTGCTTAATAGGTCAATGAGCTAGCCCAAATGTGAACAAAATTATTCATATCCAGTGTCACAACACCGAGCTCAACTCCGATCTCAGGCGTCTGAGTCTGACTTCATCGCTACCACAACAATAGTGTGAATAAGACAACAAATTAAATGTTCACCTTTTGTTTGACTTTAGAAAAAGTTAAAGAAAAAAGGTTCCGACTGGCAGAACCAGAAAAATTTCACCAGAACCGAAGGAACAACTCCGACTTCAAGTCGGAAAACCGGGAAGCACAACTTTCACAGGAAAGAGAAAGAGAATTTTCCAGACAATAATGAAAACTTTCAGTCAATTGTGCCTGCTGTCAGCCCATTTAACTGTATTTTCCCTACGCACATCATTTTCGGACCATTTTTCTCCCAATTTGTTCAATCATTTTCTGCGTCTTTTGGTAAGCTGCTCAGGGCAACCATTTCAAAATCAATCAAATTTATGACTTTGCAAACTTTTGCAGCCAAGATTTGCTGTCGTGTTTGATGATGTTTTTTTAGCCCCAGCTATTGGTAGTAGCTCAATTTTTGTAACTCGAATCGAAAAGCTGGCAATCATCATTCATAGCACATGCCATTGACCTCGTTGTTCAGTCGGAGGCTGGGGGATGGGGACTTGGGGAACCGGGGGGCAGGGGGCAGGGGCACCTCTTTGTCATTAGATACGCATCGGAGGTGGAGGGGGAGCCGAGTTCAACGTTGGTCCACCGCATCGATGGAGTTGCCAAACGTACTTCAGTCCCCAAGCTGGATTTTATTAATGCCATTGCAAGGTCGAACAAATTATATTTTTCAAATCGAATAAAATTGTGGCTTGCGAAACTGTCACCTGTCCAAAAATATCGAATGCAATAAAATAAAATACCACAGGCAATAAAAAATTTTGTTAATAGTTTAAAGTTCACTAACTTGGGTTTGTTAGCTGGCAAAAAGTATGGCAAAATTTATTTTTTATTATTAGTTGGCTTTAAAGATTTAAATTTAATTTGATAAATAAAAAATTAAATAAATGAATAGCTATTTTTTTGTAACATTATTTAATGATACATTATAAATGCATTTTCTATGAGTATTAAAATCCCCCTTAGGCAACCCAGAATTCCTAACTTTTCGTAGGGCTTTTAATAGGTAGCATAATTACCTAACCCCGGGGAGCCCAGTCAAGTATAATGAATAATGTCAAAAGATGACAAGCTGTCCGGATTGCTAGAACAACATAATGGATCGACGTAAAAGAGTTTGTCATAACGGTTAATCAAGATTCAAGACTTCACACCTCCCACCCCCTTCGCCTCAATTAAGGTTCTCATTATGATGGGTAAGAGTGTTCTCTATTGACAGACGGGTCTTCAATCTGACAGCCTACCAACTGGGCTCAATCTCATAATTATATTTTACACCCATTGAATTTGTAGACCGGATTTGGGTTTGTTTTTGTTTTCAGCTTGCTGCTTACTGGTTACTGGTTTTCGCTACGCATCCAAATGGTTTATTTACATTATAAACAACTTCTTCTTGCTCGCTATATGCCGAAGCTGGTAGCTACAACAATTTACTTTCCATTTACGTTTGCTCTTGACAAAGTTTTGTACCTTATTTAGTACATTTCTCTAATGACCCACTTTTGAGTTTTTGGTCTTGGCCGTTGCTCTGGCTGATCTCCCTCTACCGCTCCACCTCGATTTCTATCCCCGTCTCTGGTCCCTGTAATTTCGAAAAAGTGAGTGTCCCATAAGCCAGACAAGCGACATCCAACAAAAAGTTGTTTGTCAGTTGTAGTTGAAATCAAACTGGTTACTCAGCTGCCGTCTGGGTTTGTTCCACCGTCTACAGTCCATCGACCATTGGCCATCGTTCATCGGTCGGTCAAGCCGGCCCAAATGGTGTCAGCTGTGTAAACAGGGCTAAGCAAGCGGATCGCAAGCCGTTTAGCTGCTCATTTCCCCGCTGCTCCACTGTCCCACCATCACCATCGCCATCCGAATCAATTTCGTGCGAACCAAATGAAAATTCTGCCCTGAACTTGACTGCCTGCATGTGATACGGTTGAACGCCTTTTGCGGAAATTATTGCAATTTTCTTGTCTTGTCTTCTAGCCGAACACACATACCGTTCACTGGGGTTTTGGCGGTGAGTTTACTTTCACTTTTGCTGCACTTACTCAACAAGTTGTGGGGGAGAGCCGAGTGGCCGCCCGGCGAAGTTTGCTCAAAGGCGAAACATTCATCAAAAGATTCAAGTACGGCACTTTTTCCTCTAAATCAAATAAGAACTTAAGTGAATAACTGAAGTTGGCTGAGCATTAAAATAGTTCTTCATTACAGAGTGATTCTTGCTGGGAAGAAAGAGTTTTAACAGAGTTTTTTCGCAAACACATTCTTAAATCTTCGGAAACTCTTTGAGTTTCTTAGCAACTTCTTTGGAAATTTCACATTATTTATTACCAAATTATTTGCACTTTAACACGAAACTAAATAATGCTGCAACTACCCTTGTCTTGAAATAAAAATCTAATTAAAATACTACTTAACCAGAATTGCACTGAGACTAATTTAACTAATTCGTTAAAATTTACGCTCGACTCCACACTGATTGCAACTTGGCCAAAGAACAACAAATCATTTAAACAAATCAAACATCAACAGGCGACTGGCGACAACATGGAAACCTATTTGACGGAGATCAAACAGTTGCGCATACCACGCCCGAAATTCGAGCCCAACAGTTGCCATCAGCAGCACCACCATGCGGTGACAACCACCGCGACCACGCCCATCCAGCCGCCCCCGCCCCTGCACCACCGCCAGTGGCGGCACTTTGTGCGACCCTTTACGCCGCCACGCGATTACCATCTGCCCATGGTGGCCGAGGGCTCGATGCACGACAAGATGTGAGGAGGTCTTACTGGCTAGGCAAACATGCTGCCCATACATAACCCCATATACGATACCTACATATAGTATATAGTGCTTAAGTCTAGTGTTAGTTATAGACTAGTTGACGTACTATAGATACAGTTACAGATACAAAGAATAAAAAATACAGAAATTGATTGGACATTTCTTAAACAGTACAGTTTCATAAGGAGAGTTCAAAGAAGTGTGTCACGAAATGGAACTTCATGAGATGATCCAATGGAGGTGTAGAGTTAAGAAATACTGTGTATAAGATCTGTTGCTAATCACTTCTACTCTATAATGCCATATTTTATCCCCAGGAATGTCCTACAACATAATCGCTTACTCACCGCATCTTGATCGTATTCCGGTAAAAGGGTTTCGCTGCCCCGGCGAGTTCTGTGCTCATCACAGCCGTATTCCTAAGCCGGGATAAAAGAATTTACATAGTATATTTTTCAGCGGCTTAAATACTTTTCTGCTGTTGGCCAATTCGGTTTGGCACTGGTCTTAATGCGACTTAACAGTATTACAACACTCAATAGCCAATTGGACAACATTTAAAAAGGAAGTACAACATAACCGGAAACAGAGACGAAAACGTAAACTTAAACCACATTGAGCAGTTGGACAAACATGGAAAAAGATTGAAACACATAAAAACGGCAATAGACGTTACACACAACGAGAGACAAAGATACAAAAAGTAGATAGAGACAGAGAGAGATAAAGACACTAAAGATACAAATAAAGTAAAACATATACAGCCGACAGACAGTTTGAAATCTGAAGTCTCGGCAATTTTACAGCAGAATGTCAATTTTTTTTCAAAAGCGTACACAAATTTAAAATAAAATCCTGCTTTCGGTGCCTTTAAATAAAAGAAAATGTAAAACCCTACAGAAATTTATGCACAGTATATGCCAAAATATTGAAATAGAGGTACATTTTGGAAAGTTTCTCAGAAGGCTCATTAAGTAATTTTTATATAAGAGCTTAAAGTTGAGTTAGGGATCTTTTAAAGATCTGAAACTTTCAGAATAGAACAGTTTTAGGAACAGTGAAAATAGCTTTGCTACCCTATCCGCCCTACTCGTTTCGGTCCTGACCTGTTGCTGATTGTCTTTGGCCTGCTTGAATTTCAATTGACTTGGTCCCAACGGGTAGTGATGATTACGACCAGATCCCACGTTGCCGCCGATTCCGCCCAGGTGACGCAATGAGGCATGATGGGGTGGATAATGTTGCTGCTGTTGCTGATGTGGCTGCTGGTGTTGCTGCTGTTGTTGTTGTTGTTGTGGGGGCGATAATGGTGATGAGGACAGGTTGCTGGCTGTCTGGTAATGTGATGCTGGCTGTGAGCGATGCAGTATGGGTCCCGCCGACATGGGACGATGGGGCAACTGTAGTGCGGGTCTATCGTATACATATACACAGGTCAGTTAACTATTACGGTGGGGAGTGGATGGTTGGGGATCAGTGTTGGAGGTTCCCTAGATATATTAAGCTGTCAAACCTTCACAAATTATACCCAACATAAATAATTCAATTTTTTATCTAATTAAGAGTCATTTTTGAAAGCTTTACTTTACTTTTTGCACATTTCTAAAACAAATAATAGTTTTCTAATCATTTTATTACTTTAGACACTATTTAGAACCCAAAATTACGATCTTTTTCAACACTGTTTCGGGATAGGATTATGGGATATAGGTTTTCGGTTATTGGCTAGGTACCGTTTGTGTATATCCGATACGGTCATGCCCAGGCCCGAGTCCGACGAAGGACTCCGTCCGGTGGCGGCTATTATTTCCAAATCGTCGGCTGTTACCTGTTGGGGAACGGAACGGAATGGTACGGAATGGAACGAAACGAAACGAACGATTTGGTTTGCATACGATTCAGATCGAGTGAGACAGTGACAGCTGAACAGCTTGAGAGTGAGTGAGTGAGAAGGGTTCTAATCTAGGCTTCCGTAGAATTCTACCGAGCATAGACAGAGACAGAAAGAGATATAGAGAGCGAGACAGAGATAGCGACTAGGAGTCAGAGCTGGAGAGCGACAGAAATAGAGTGTCTGGAAGTGCATTCGTAGTTCGATCTATAGTTATATTGATTGGTATTTATATGCATATATTGGTGCTGATTCTTGGTGACTGTTGTGGTTTCTTGTTTATCTTTTAGGTGCACTTTCGGTGTGGGATTACATAGATTCGATGTGATATTTTACAGTAACTTGGTTGCTTAAATCTTATACTAAATTTAAATTTAAAGATAACTATTTGGCAGTAAGCCAAAACTGATCTAAGTCATATCCCATTATTATATTTACAACTTTTGAATATAATCAAATAGTTTCGAATTTTCCCAATAAGGGCCCCTGTATTTAAGGTTTGCGATCGAATTTATTTTGTTTTTGCTTAATCTACATTAGTTCACAAAAGCCCCTCTTCTTATTGCTAAAAATTATGTAAAAACTTTGCCACTACAATGTAACTAAAGTTGTATCTATATATATGTGTTTATTGTTTTGGAAAAATTGACATTCGATTTGATTGTACTTCTTTTGAAATGCAATTTCACTTGGAAAGGGCCGAATCAGAAGTAAGCAAGTTTCTGAAAGCTTTGTAAAAAGAAAATAAACGAGAATTACATGCAACATTTGGGAAATGAAAGAAGCATTAACTGGTTTAGAGTTGGGTGGATAAAGAAAGTATCAAGTGTATCTCGTTCAACAATTAAACTACAAGTTTTGTTTGGATTTTCTTTTGTCGAGTGTTATTGTATTTGTTCTACAGTTGAAACAGATAAATTAAAGTAAAAGTTACAAACGTACAGTGACAACAATTATCAACGACAACAGCAAGAAGAGAAAGATATACTAAACAATAAACATTTTGTAGGGGATATATAAGTAGAGTAGAGTAGAGTATAGACGAATAGTAGACAGTGGACCGGTTGAACAGTAGTCAACGTTTAGTTAGAGTATTTGGCTGAACATGCTCAGTGTTTTTTGGTTAAGGAAGTGTCTCCCTTAACTAAGTATATATTGTGTCTGTGTCGTAGAATAAATCTTCTAAAAAGCTTACCGGCAAATCACGGGCGGGGTCTCCCTTACGCTGTAAAAGATAAAGGGGTTTACATGGGGGCTAACCGGAAATGAGCTTCCTCGGGCTTACCCTATGCCTATCCACGCTATAAGGATCGCGTTCTCTGCGGTAGACTAGCTCATCGTATCGCGTGCGATCCTCGGGGAACACCAGTTCCCGTATTTCCGTCACTAGCGTGTGCTGGAAGTGAGGAAATTATATGATTAGCCTGACTTATTAAAGCTCCCAAAAACCTTCTGTGAAACGCACCTTCTCGTACGTATCTAACATCTCTAATAAGACGGCAACAAAGGCATCTATGGTCATTGCTTTCGCACTATATTCGGCAATATAGTAGGAAAGGCTTGCAAAGTGATGACGGGGCAGCAGAGAGCGCGCCTTCTCCTCCACCATGGTCGCAATTTGACCTTTTCGGCGTGCTCTGTGTGAGATCAAAGGACTAATGTTGTAGGATTTCAGAGGAAACTTTGAGCTTCTCGGGTGGACCCACCTTGTGCCCGTTGGACTGTAGGCATCCCAGGGCTCCATCTCGATGGAGGTGCAGGAGTGCGGCACCTTGCCCACGTCTCGTATCACCAGCGACATGCGCTTGTGGTACTTCAGCTGACCCACCGCCTCGTCGTGAGTCACATCGAGAAAGGATTGCCCGTTGACTTCGAGGATCTCGTCGCCGATCATTAGTCCGGATCGATCCGCCACACTGTCCTTATCCACGCCGGTGACGAAGATCCCCAGGCCGTACTCCACGCCGCCACGGATCATCAGGCCCAGAGATTGACCGGGCTCGATCAGCAGCTCCACGCGACGAATCCTGATGGGTGGTAAGGGGTTAGATTTCTCAATAAATCCTATGGATTATGGTGTCTTTAGTAACCCCTTGATATAAACATTTTTAATGAGTCAATTTTCTTAAAATAAAAAAAATGTTTTGGATTTACAAATTGGAGCATTTAAAATTTTTTAAATACCGCAGTGGTAACCAGCAAAACAAACTTTGCCTCTCACTGAAAGTATGCCAAAATTTCGTAGTAATTTTTCTGCTCTGCTGGTAAGCACTGGAATAAAGACATCTTTAGGTCCTAAAATCCTTTGATATACCGGAATAATTACACACAAAAGAAACACGGCGGGATCAAATCGATATGCGCATGGTTAATTTGTGGTATTTTTTTTTATGACTTTGAAAATGAGAGCAAAATGCTATATGACAACTTAAATGACGTGAGATGGAGCTAATTCTCTTAATTAGATTTGAAATTAGAACTAAGAACATGTTGATTACATTTTGAGCATATCAAATTGATATGCCGCATATCAAGTCAAAATTTATACCACATAATATCAAATTGATCAAGTTTTTTTTGGCTGTACCAATAAGTACTTATCAGTAGTATTTTGGGTTGCAATAGTAATGCATGTAAGAGCTTAAGAATCATTGTTTTATACCAGCGGTCGGCAGCGTCCTATTAAGTGAGCATAGGAAATTGTTCTGCTCATTCTCTGCCTATCACGTATACTGTAGAACAGCGGTCTTTACACACACACTGATGAGCTGCCCCGTGCAATTTACTCACACAAATATAAAACAAAATGAAATTGTATGAGTGTGCCGACCGCTGTTTTATACTCACCGATCCCGTCGCTCGCTGCGCCTGCCCCCGTACTCCATGGGCGGGGAGGCGGGTCGTCCGTGGCGGTCCATCCAGGAGCAGGTCTGGCGGAAGGGCAGACCCGCCCCCGAGGCCGCCGCCGCCGCTGCTGCCGCTGCCGCCTGGTTCTGTGGGTGCAGGGGTGGAGCCATCGATGCGTACATGGGGTCGCGGGAGGGCGGACCGAAGCCGTGGAGCGGGGCGGTCGAGTTCAGAGTGGGCGGCGCTCGCACCGTCATACTGATTTGACGTGACGATTTCAATATCTGCACACATCTCTGCGTTAAGAAAAAATGTGGCAATAGAAGAGACACAAAAAAGAGAGGACAGATGCGAGCAGAACGGAACGGAATGAACCAACAAGAAGAGAGAGAGCCGAAAAGGAGCAAAGTACTA